AGTCGTACCCTGTTAACCTGGATTCTGATAGTGATGCCTCTATGATCTGTAATTTGGTTTCTGGAACCAGCTAGTAATTAGCTGCAATCTGCACAGAAGAATGATTCACTCATCCATAAAGCCATCTGAGGCGTCATCAGGACCAAACAAGTCAGTCGGTCGCGGCAGAAGCTTCTTGATCACATGACAATCAACCCCACACGTCACTTGTTTGTAAAAATGCTTGTCAAATTACATTCAATACAAAATTCAGTTTAATTAGTGTTCCTTCTGTGCAAATGCAACCAGCTCAATTTGAATTAAGCCTTTCATTATTGGCAAGTTGAGAAAATCTTTTAGTTTCTGAAGGGATATTAATCATGAAGTGTATCTGATACCAACACAACAAGGGCATTGACGACATCAGATTTTGATTGGCTACAACACTTCGATCAACAGATGTAGTCATGTGGACTTTTACTGATTTTACCGTTTGACAATGCTATTTGTCACAACTGCTCATGGTTGAAATTAACCAGAAATCTGATATGGGCTTCATATGGTGTTCCCATGTCAGGAATCAAACCTGGATCCTTGGCATCGTGAGTGAACGCTGGAATCATAATGCTACCCAACTCTCCCTTATACCTATCAGAACAATTTAAAATTCTAGCTGTATCTCACACAAAAATATGTTTTTGGGTGTACATTGTACACACTGAATTGGATTTGTGTTTTTAGACAAGTGCACATTACACAGAAGAATGCAGATTAACTATTAATCTAGGGCATTATTCTGTCCTTGTTGCAGGCACTCTTATCACTGTGCCTGCAATGTTCAATTACATCACAGCACTTGTGCTGTTGACATTTACAACAATACTTGTGGTATGACAGCCAGTGCATGCTCCTACAGGTTAACATTATAATCAATATCCATGCACTGTCGCTAGGGGGCCAGCCTCTCGTGCTCACACCACACATGCATCCTCCTGTCGTTGCAATGGAAACTTGGCAACAGTTTCATCAACAGCTTCGGGATTTATCTATACCTGCTCACAGACCAGTATTCAACCTCAAGTCATCAGCTGAAATTCCGTAATTAAAATTCAAATGTTCCTACTTCATGTTAATATAATTGAAGCTAATGTAATGCAAGCTTGTCTTGTACTTCACTCATCTCAGGACCAAAAGAAATGTTTAGCAATACTCAAGTCCTATCATGGACAGGAAGAAGTTTTAAATACCAAATTTTACATAAACTAATGTAAGCCAGTGAACAAATTTAAAAGAACTTTTAAATTAAAAAAAATAGTTATTTAAAAAATGCTGCTTTTGAACAAAAAAACAGTTCAAGTGCTCATCCCTGATTTAATTATTTGGCACTAAACTTTCATTTGCAGTTGTGATGTGAATCAGTGGATCAATATTTTAGTGGGATTTGCATATTTTCCCTGCTTTTAATGCAACATGGTTTGTAACCAAAATTATATAGAGAATAAGTGGTTTTATGCTTTGAAGAGTATTTCAGTTACCTATGCGGTGCTGTGTCATCTGATTGTGGGTGTATTTCACTTTACGAAACATAATCATGGCTTTATTTCACTTTACTGAAACACAATCATGGCTGTACATAACTTTGCTGAAATATATTAATCAGTTATCAGTTTGTTAAATGAATCACAGCAATAGCTTTGACACCATAATCACACCTAGGATTTGAACAAAGGAGATCCTGTGTTGACAAGGGGAGGCAATCCCTAGGTCATATTAATTATTGGGTACACTTCATTATCAGTCCATAGCATTATCAGGCTTCACAATATTTGATTATTGCTTGTTTCAGACATTTCTTGACAAATTACCAATTCTATTACAAATATGTCACATTTTCCCATCCCATTCCATTTGTGTGAATGTATATAATATTTTTGTAATTCAAATCATAAACTAACTTGACACTACTCAGGTATTAACAACTTATGTAAAAATATGTGTTATCTTTATCAGCAGTGGTAGATGTTTTCATGCAAACGAATGCCATGTTTCCGTGAGAAGGTTACAGGATTGGCAATTCTTTCTGGTGAGCAAAGCAACAGTTGGCAATCTGTTGTTTGTGTACATACAGGAATAACACCTTCCCTCTCTGTTTAGGCTTGTGAACACTCATCAGAGTCTGTACTGTACAGAACAGTGGCCTACATCTAGTGTAAGATACACACAGAATGCTGTATCCAAATGAACTGGTTTGGCAATACAGCACTGTAAACACTGGTCTCCTCACCACTTATAACAGTAGTAAACACTGGTCTCCTCACCACTTATAACAGTAGTAAACACTGGTCTCCTCACCACTTATAACAGTAGTAAACACTGGTCTCCTCACCACTTATAACAGTAGTAAACACTGGTCTCCTCACCACTTATAACAGTAGTAAACACTGGTCTCCTCACCACTTATAACAGTAGTAAACACTGGTCTCCTCTCACCACTTATAACAGTAGTAAACACTGGTCTCCTCACCCACTTATAACAGTAGTAAACACTGGTCTCCTCACCACTTATAACAGTAGTAAACACTGGTCTCCTCACCACTTATAACAGTAGTAAACACTGGTCTCCTCACCACTTATAACAGTAGTAAACACTGGTCTCCTCACCACTTATAACAGTAGTAAACACTGGTCTCCTCACCACTTATAACAGTAGTAAACACTGGTCCCCTCACCACTTATAACAGTAGTAAACACTGGTCTCCTCACCACTTATAACAGTAGTAAACACTGGTCTCCTCACCACTTATAACAGTAGTAAACACTGGTCTCCTCACCACTTATAAAAGTAGTAAACGCTGGTCTCCTCACCACTTATTAAAGTAGTAAACACTGGTCTCCTCACCACTTATAACAGTAGTAAACACTGGTCTCCTCACCACTTATAACAGTAGTAAACACTGGTCTCCTCACCACTTATAACAGTAGTAAACACTGGTCTCCTCACCACTTATAACAGTAGTAAACACTGGTCTCCTCACCACTTATAACAGTAGTAAACACTGGTCTCCTCACCACTTATAACAGTAGTAAACACTGGTCTCCTCACCGCTTATAACAGTAGTAAACACTGGTCTCCTCACAACTTATAACAGTAGTTCAGTATCATTAATATAGTTATTTCTACAATAATTACTTGTTTTGTCCTTCCTCAGCTAATCCAAATAGAGGTGAGAGGTTAAAGGAGTATTGTATGTGTGAAAATAAAGAAAAAGAATCCTTCTTGGTTGAGTTCATTTATTCTTTGGTGTTCAAACACACTGAAGGTCCATTGCTCCAATTCCTTTCCAAAAGTCAAGCAATTTCTTTCTTAATACTAACAGATTAACTGAAACAAAATAAAAGGTGATTTTGAGTTAAATTACTCAAGAAAAAATACTAAAGAAAATGATAGAAATTAGACCTACTAAAAAAACCAACTCAAAGAAATAGAATTTACTGAAAAATTACAAATGATAAATTCTAAAAATTGCTTTATAACACTTAAAGAAAGATAAAGACATTTACTAAGTATATGAAATTGATTTCCTACCATTATTTTTTGGGTAATGTAGTCCTTGGCTTCTCATCTAAGTGTGCTGCATACTCAGGCAAGCACATGGTCCCAAACCAGTCTAAACTAGAGTAACCCACCCCTGGTTATAGAGTTACTAGCCCCTTGATATAAAGTCTAACAGAAACTGAGTAGAAACAGAGATGTGAGTTCAAACCCAGAAGTGGAAAACAAAATTTTGGCAAATTAATATTTTACCAAAGTAAAAATTTGAGAAAAACAAAACTAAAATTAAAACAGAAAATAAAATTTACCAATGATAAAATAAAACAACTTTGGCCATTACATACCGGCCCACAAATTGGGAATTTGGGTGAGCAATTTTCTCAAAACTACATGAAAATGGTCAAAGTTACAGGAAACATTCATACATGATTGATAAACTCCTCTTAAATGCTCAGGAAAGTAGATATAATAAAACACAAATTACAGTTCATGATTGATTTCTTCTTTCCTGAAATAAAGGATCGTGCAGTTTCTTATAATTTCTCATATTCTCAGGTTTCTTCAATTTTCAAGTTTCTGATCACAGTTCATCTGCTTCCAGTACAGTACAGAGTTTTGTAATGGGTCGAAGAACCGTCCCATTCTTAGTTTTCACTTCTGCAATTCGAACCATCCCTTCTTGTCACACTTAACATTTATTACCTTTCCAAGGGCCCAAGCATGACGGGGGTTGGTTGTCAATCACAAGCACAATATCACCTGTACTTGTATTTCTTTTTATTTTACACCACTTTTGTCTTTCTTGTAGTAGTGGGAGATATTCCCCACCCATCTTTTTCAAAACTGGTCGTGAGATACTGTACCTGCCGCCAGCGGTTTCTCAGCACATTGTCATCTTCATAGAATTGTCCGGGTGGGCACATTTGACTCTTGTGCAGGAGCAGAAAATGGTTAGGCGTTAGGCCTAGGTCACTCGAGGTGGTCAGAGTTCTTTGTGATTGGTGCGTCCATTGAGTATGGACTCAATCTCACAGAATAGTGTCATCAAACACTCGTCGTCGAGATGATTCATCTGCTGATCCATCAATGAATACAGGATTTTCCTGATTGACCGAATGATCCTTTCCCATATTCCGCCATGATGCGAGAGGCATACGGAGGATTGAATTTCCACTCTATGTTCTGTTGAAGCAGGGTTTTTTAATTTTCGACTGGTTCCAATCTTCTATCGCCTCTCTCATTACTCTCTCAGCGCCAACAAGATTCGTTCCATTGTCTGACAGAATGACTTTTGCTGGGCCTCTTCTAGCTACAAATCGCCGAATCGCATTAATGCAGGAGTCCGTGTCTAGTGAATGAAGCGATTTCAAGTGCACAGCACGACTAGTCAGGCATGTGAAGATAACACCGTACCGTTTTACAGCTGCCGTCCTCGTTTGACTTGGAACGGTCGAGAAGTAGTCCATACCTACTTTAGTAAAGGGAGGATCTCCTGGGATTAGGCGGTCTGCGGCAGGTCAAGCCATCTTCTGAATCTGGGTCACAGCCTTGTATTTCCGGCACAGCACGCACTTTGGCGTGATGCTCTTCAAAAGCACTGATGCACCTGGGATCCAGTAGTTCTGTCTCAATGTAGCTAGCATTGCTGTTTTACCCAGTGACCAGTTAATCTGTGGACATATTCTAGGATCAATCTTGCCAGTGGAGAGGTTTTTGGGATAATCACAGGATGTTTGGCGTTGTATTGCAGTTGAGCTCTCTCTAGTCTGCCGCCAACACGTAGAATGCCTTCATCAAGTATTGGGTCCAACTTGAACAAAGTGCTTGTCTTTGGCATGGATTTCAATCCAGTCCCATCTGATTTCCTCCGTTTCAGGCAAGTAATCTCTTCTCCATAAGTTTGTCTTTGTACATAGGAGATTACTGACCTCTCTGCTTCTTCGAGAATGTCTCTCGACATGTTCAGTTCCAATTTCACAGGCTTGCTTCCTTTTCTCATGTTTATCTTGTTTCTCAGGTGGTTTCGGAAGATGATGAAGTGGGCAGTAACTCTTTTCAACTTGGTCCAATCTGAAAAGTATGTCAAGAGGTTGTTCATTGTTTGGTCTTCTGATCTTGATTTTACTACACAGTGAACTCTTGGTTTCTTGATTTCTGGATCTTCACCCGAAAGTTCAGTTTGAATTTCTTCTTTTCGGCCACATGTTTTTCTGATTGCCATAGAAACTCAGGTCCTTTTATCCATATCTCACTTGACAGGAATTTAGTCATTGTTGCTCCCCTTGATGCTATATCTGCTGGGTTGAGTTTGGTATTGACAAAGCGCCATTGTTCTGGGTTGAAGCTTCTCTGATGGTGGTGACTCTGTTCACCACGAATGTGTGGAACCGTGTCGTCTCATTTCTGATATATCGGATGACCGACATACTATCTGTCAAAATACTGTTTCTGCAATAGGGTACTGAAGATCATGTTCTATCAGTTTGCTCATCCGTGCAGCAGCGGTAGCAGCTGTTAACTCCATTCGCTGGCACTGTTACCTTTGCTAGTGGGGCAACCCTGGACTTGGCCAAGACGAATGAGCAATAAACTTCATTTTTATCATTCTCAAGATGTAGATATGCAGCGACTCCATAACCAGCATCGCTTGCATCCGAGAATAAATGTAACCGACAATTGGTAATGATTCCAAAGTTCTGTGGCTTGTAGCAGCGGTCAATGTTCAGTTTCTCAATCTGGGGTAAGTCGTTCAACCATCTCTCCCACTTTATCAACAGTTGATTTGGAATGGGCTCATCCCATGATAGTTTTTCTTTGCAAAGAGCTTGCAGGAGTTGTTTAGCAGGAAGAATGACTGGAGCTGCAAATCCTAAAGGGTCATAGACACTGCTAGTTACTGAAAGGATTCCTCTCTTAGTCTTTGAATGATTCTTCACCTGGATCTTGAAGCTGAGCTTGTCATCTTCCATAATCCAATATGTGCCCAGTGCACGCTCGCATGGCAAGTCATCATGTTCTAGGTCTAGACTCTTTATATGACTTGATCTGTTCTCTTCTTGGATAGACTCAATGACTTTGCGGCTATTACTGACCCATTTTGCAATGTGAAATCCTCCTTGGCTACACAAGTCTGTGATACCTTTGACCTGTTCTATGGCAGAAGCATCTGATTCAGTGGAGGAAGGCAGTCATCGACGTAGAAGTTGTCACTAATCATGTTGGCAATGTCTGACTCAAACCTGTCTCGATTGTCTTCTGCAGTTTTCCTTAATGCATAGCTTGCACAACTGGAAGAGGAGACTGTACCAAATAGGTGAACTCTCATTCTGTAGACTTCTGGTTTCTGGTTGTAGTCACTGTTGTTCCACCAATAGAATCTCTGGAAATCTTTGTCTTCCTTATGAACATTTACCTGGTAATACATGGCTTCCACGTCACCAATGATAGCAACTGGGCCTTGGCGAAATTTAATTAGGGCGCCGGTAAGATTGTTCGTGAGATCTGGCCCTTGGAGAAGGACATCATTTAGTGAAACACCCTGGTATTTAAGCACAATCGAACACCACCGGATTTTGTCTGGTTTTTGCGTGGGTGGTATACCCCATGATGAGGTATAAACCAAGTCTTTCCTTTTGGGCCTTGTAATTCCTCTTCAGGTACTTTCTCAGCATAGCCTTTGCTGACCACTTTCATCATGAACTCACTATAGTCTCTGTAGAATTGAGTATTCTTCTCAAACTTCTTTCTCAAACTGTTCAATCTTTTCAGTGCATAGTCATGGTTGTCCGGCATCTCAATGTTCTCATTTCTAAATGGGAGCTGAATGTGGTAGTGACCATCTTTCATCTCACACAGAGTTTTCTACTTTCTTCAGGAACAATTTGTCCTCTTGCGACATTTCTTTTCTATCTTCTACACCCTTCTCAGGAAACTCAATGTTCATGTTTTGTCTCACAAGCTGGTCAAGCTCTCTCATATTCTCTGCTTCCTTTATCTTAATTACATCTGTTCTCATGACTGTTAGTCCACAGTTTCCATGTTCACTTTCTGAATTCCTGGCGACGTTCCATAAGATCCATCGAGGCGGGTTTTGTAGCATGTGGTGTGCCTTGTTCTCGGTCCGGACCTGCTGTGGCGTGTAGGCATCAGGTACATTGTTCCCAATGAGTAACTCTATGCTGCAGTCCAACTGCGGTATGTCAATGTTTCTCAGATGTGGATACTGTGATATGTCATCTGATGTAGGTATGTGTGACCTTGACACGGAAGATTGTCCTTTGTGTAAAGTGTTGGCATCTGAATCTCATTCTCAAGATTAACTATACTGTAGGCAATATTTACCTCACAACTGTTCACTGCAGCATAATATTTTTTCCTCACAACTGTTCATACATACACTTTTCCAATAGCTAACTGTTAACATGGTCATAAATCATGTTCACCATGCAACTATATAGCTGTATGGTTGTGTCAGTCTGATTAACCCACTATAACAAGCAGTCATGTCACAAAGATTTTCTAAGGTGCCGACCCGTGAAGATCCGGGGTAAAATAGGTCTTCAGCAACCCATGCTTGCCACAAAAGGCGACTTTGCTTGTCGCAAGAGGCGACTAGCGGGATCGTGTGGTCAGGCTCGCTGACTTGGTTGACACATGTCATCGTATCCCAAATGCGCAGTACGATGCTCATGCTGTTGATCACTGGATTGTCTGGTCCAGACTCGATTATTTACAGACCACCGCCATATAGCTGGAATATTGCTGAGTGTGGTGTAAAACTAAACTCACTCACTCTAAGGTGCCCTGAGGCCAAGTGGATCCAGTCATCTAAGACACTGTAATTTGCTGATTGGATTCTGAGTTTGAATCCCAGCTCGTCAGTACCATACCAATAGTAAGCATCTGACACTTGCATCACTTCAGGCTAACACACACTGATTAAAACGGGGACATTGTGAAGCAGTGCTAAACCCAAGAACCTCACTCACTCAATCTAAGGTGCCCTAAATTGAACAACTTCGTCAGTTTTACAACCATAACAACATGTTATGTGGTGATGTCAACCTATTAACGACAAACAGGCTTTCTTGACATGATGGAACAAGAAAACACTGCAAATTGATTTTTCATTTACGTTGGAAGGTATAAAGGTCACCTCTGACATCGACAGTTAACGCTAATCCCCACTGATTTCAGTATGACACGGGGTATCACTTCTTGTCAGCTTGGAGCAACACCATGTCAGTGAGTGAGTGGAGGCAGGTATCTAAATCACTCTATCCTAGATGTGACATGATTGCATTTAGATATTATCATCACTTGTTACAAAATCGGGCTGTCTAGCTGATGGACAGGTCAAAATCCAAAGTAGTGCAACAACTGTGTACAAGACCCTGTGATTATGTTACAGACAAATTGTGTTAGGGCATTTTCATGATGTGTGAAAGTATTGATAGACATTATTCTGTCCTTAGAGGGACATTTTGGATGACAGACAATGTCTGAGAAAATGAGGGGCAGTGAGGTAGCCTAGTGGTTAAAGCATTGGCTCGTCACGCCGAAGACCTGAGTTCGATTCCCCACATGGGTACAATGTATGAAGCCCATTTCTGGTGTCCCCCGCCGTGATATTGCTGGAACATTGCTAAAAGCAGCGTAAAACTCACTCACTCACTCTGAGAAATTGAAGTGATCTCGGTGGAATCTTGAACACTCCAATAGGCGGATCCAGGAGAAGGGGGCTGCACATAAATCATCAAGTCCAAAGGACTTTGAACATATCTGCAAAAGACGCTGTGCCATGGGATCAACTCTGGTACAGGTAAACCAGGGTTGAATGCATAAATCACATCTGGGTTCTGACACACACAAACACAGTAAGTCATTCATGGTCATCTAGTTATCAAATCAGAGGATCAACTACAAATCAGAGGATCAACTAATTAACTTGATTAATTAGCAAGCAGGTAATTTAGATTTCTAATGGCAACATGGACAAATTTTTGGCACTAGTGTTTTTGTCAGAGTATTGATAGTAGTAGTAGTAATAGTAGTAGTAGCAGTAGCAGTAGCAGTAGCAACAGCAGGAGTAGTAGTAGCAGTAGGAGGAGGAGGAGGGGAGCATTGAAGACCAGGCCTCATCTATACTGAACAGTACGAAGTAACACAAGACCTTTAATGAGAACCAGTATGTTGTCAGTTCTGGGTATTTTTAAATTATGCATGAATTAGTTTCTGTGTGTGACTGCAGAAACTTCTCTCATGGAATAAGGCAAACAGAGCTGACCTCAGCTATTGTTTGCAAACAATGTTCCAGAACACTCCACACGCTGGCCCTTCAGTGTGAGGAAGAACCTGAACATGGGCATGCTCCTGTGTTGTGGTGGGGAAATCACACAAATGAACACTTAACTATTATCATTAAGTTCACTACTTAAAGATGTACTGAGGACATACATGACGGTACTGACAGACAAAGAAATACTCTGGTTCCACTCACCAGGTAGTAGTGCTTACTGCCTACACACAACTCCAAATATTGTGGGCACAACCTGATGGTTTTTGACAGGTGTTGTATTATGTATTTGTTTTCGTTCAATACCAAAGAACAAAAATAATATATTTTAGTTTCCTCCAAGCACAACTCACGTGAAATTTGCCTCCAGACAAAATTACTACCATATGTAAACAGAGCCCTGTCAGTGATGCACTGGGTTGTTGATCTCACACACACAGTTTTGGTACTGATCTATTCTCAGCTCATGATTTTTATCCATTGGTTCAAGCGTCTTGCAAACATAGAGTAATTAATTCATTGACAGTACCCCATTTATATCTATATTACAGTATATCTGAAACAATATTGCTGTGACCTTTCAAGACATGTGGGCATTCCTGTCATGAATGATACATGATACATGAAAGTTCATCAAGGAGGTAACCTTGTTTGAGCAAACCACAACCAGTGTTAGTTTGGCATAACAGTCTATCTAATGGGAAATCTGTTTGTCTTTACATTCAGTTCATATCAATGACATTTAGAAGTCCATCTGCACTGTTTTGTAGCCTCTCACCAAGCTTAGTAGCCTCAGCAACTGAGTAATTTGTGTACCGAGAATCAATGAAGTAACGACACAGGAGAGGTTTTTACATTAACTGAATACTTTCTGGGTGCAGGCTTCCAAAACAACTGGAGCATCATCAATTTCATTACATCCCTATTATTGAAAGACAATCCACACATGATTTTATTTGGAATTTAACAAATTACACACGTCTGAACGTCCATGTAGATACATGTTACCATGGCGATAGTACACTTTCAACTAAAAAGAAAGATCAATGAATGGACAAAGATTTGTATATGTGTGTCCATTAGCAGTAAATCAGTTTGATACATAATTACATATCTGCAGATACTGTTGGAAGGATGGTGTTTGTATTAAAAACATGGTACAAAGGGAGTTATCTTACATTCATGTAAAAAACTATAATTTCATTGGTCAGTGACGCTTTAACAAGTTTCCGTGTCACCCCTCCCAGGAGAAAAAATATTACCTGCTCCCAAAGTAACCGCCAAACTCTCCACCGAGAAGCTATGTCACTTACAATCGTATGATGTCATAATATGACGCATGCAGCACACAGAGTTTGAAAACCTTTCGATTAGCTGTTTTTGAGTTCACTATGTACACATTTATTTCCCCGACTTTCACTGCTGTCTTTAAACTATTTTATACTTTGAATCATTTGCGGACCCAAATTAAACATAATGAACCATTTCTACAGCAGTTTTAAGCTTGTCAGAATATGTCTCACTTATTTTAAAAATCCAGTTGAGAGGCAGGCGCCATTTGTTTATATGTCATACAGTTGGAAGCAAGCCTGTCGATCTTCCAAATAAAATAAAATGATATTTTGTACATTTAAAATGGCGGTAAGATAATTACGTTGTAAACTTCTCCCTCGGGTAATACGGTCTGATGTACCCCTTTTTGTAGCAGTGTTATCCCTCGCCAACCGGCTCGGGTGATACTGCTACAAGAAGGTGTATATCAGGCCATTTTACCCTCGAGAGAAGCACACAACTTACAATATATTGCTGGGTCCAGCAAATGTACCACCAAATCTCTGTCTCAAAGATTAACCATAACCCTCAACACTATCGAGGAAGGACTTTCTGACTATTCACAGAAAGTATTTGAGACAAGAGGAATATATGCCATGTGGATACTCAAAAACTCAAAAGATTTGCTTGAATTTTATAATCTCAGAAAAGGACGGTGTTCAGTTCTGCCAAAACATTTGAGAAACTTCAGGAAAAACTTCATTTGGGCATGGGCACCAATTGTGCTCATCTCCTTGCAGATCTGTTTCTTTATGCATATGAATCAGGATTTCTGCGTGGATTGGCAAAATGAAAACAAGGTAATCTGGCCAAACAGCCACAAACAGTCTCATGTTCTCTTCTCATCTCTTGACACACAACTGAGCCTCTATGATGTTGTCCAACAGTCACATACAGCCTCTAGATCTCCTTTTGCCCCTTGACACACAATTGAGCCTCTCTGATGTTGTCTAACAGTCACATACAGCCTCTAGATCTCCCTTTGTCCCTTGACACACAATTGAGCCTCTCTGATGTTGTCTAACAGTCACATACAGCCTCTAGATCTCCCTTTGCCCCTTGACACACAATTGAGCCTCTCTGATGTTGTCTAACAGTCACATACAGCCTCTAGATCTCTCTTTGCCCCTTGACACACAATTGAGCCTCTCTGATGTTGTCTAACAGTCACATACAGCCTCTAGATCTCCCTTTGCCCCCCTTGACACACATTTGAGCCTCTCTGATGTTGTCTAACAGTCACATACAGCCTCTAGATCTCTCTTTGCCCCTTGTCACACACAATTGAGGCCTGTGATGTTGTCTAACAGTCACATACAGCCTCTAGATCTCTCTTTGCCCCTTGACACACAATTGAGCCTCTGTGATGTTGTCTAACAGTCACATACAGCCTCTAGATCTCTCTTTGCCCCTTGACACACAATTGAGCCTCTGTGATGTTGTCTAACAGTCACATACAGCCTCTAGATCTCTCTTTGCCCCTTGACACACAATTGAGCCTCTCTGATGTTGTCTAACAGTCACATACAGCCTCTAGATCTCTCTTTGCCCCTTGACACACAACTGAGCCTCTGTTATTGTTATACAGTCACCTACAGCCTCTTCACGTCCAGTGTTCCTGCACATTACAGAGAGTAATGGTGTCTCTATCACCTCAGATTATCATGATCCCTCAATAGCTTGTTTACAGACACTACCTCAACAAGCCAGTTATCATTCTACAATTAAATCCATTTGTAACTACTCGTGTCATTCCGCCAAGCCGGATGGCGTCTCTACCCCTCTCGTGGCCATGTTTACGACTGGGCTCTGACCAAGCGCAAACGGGCATGGAGATGAAAATAGTCTAGTACTATTACCAAGAAAAGATAACTCTGAATTTCCAAACATGGCTTATAGAATATCCTATATCCTGTGGGATAAACAGCAATACAGTCATTCCCTTTGTAAATATGTTTCAGTGTTTAAAGTTTCTGATCCTTTAGCTCAAAGTTTATGTTTAAATTGTGCTTTGCATAGTTTAGCGATGTTTCAAACTTCAACGGTGCCGCCATTTTCATGCTTCGAAATGTGTTTTACTACGCTCGATTTGATTGGTTTGCCACGATTCTTGGCAATAATGGCTTACGATAGGGTACGAGTCTTCTTGTAGGTCACGGAAAGAGGCGAGTAGTTACGAATGCAATTAAATCTTGTTCCTGTTACAATTACAGCTTGTGGTAGGATAAGTATGCAGCCAGGCTGAGTGGCAAGATGACAGAAACTGGATAGAACAGGGCTGGCCTCCAGTTTCCATCTTGACAAATCCTCTTCACACCTCTCATCACTGTCACTTACAATGTGAAGATGCTCCCACAAATTCACTTACTGTCTTCAAGGGATACAGCCAGTCTTTTGTCTCTGACACAGAGACTGACCACAAAACTATTCAATGACACAAAACAAATAAACTATTTATGAGGATATGCCATGGTGATTAAGGCATCACACTTGTCATGGAAGGCTTCAAATCAAGGAAATGGCTGGTGGTGTGATTGTGTTGTCAAGCGTGTTAGGCAGAGAGGGTTAACACTTCACAGAGCTTGGCTAATGGAGCAGAGGCATTGCCAAACAAATCCATACACCTTCTGTTCACTCTAACACAATGTACAAAAAGTGAGCATTAGTAAAACAGTGAGTGTGTGTTAGTTAGAAAGTCAGTGAGTGCGTGGGTGGGTGGGTGCCTTTGAGTGAGTGAGAATTACCTACATGACTACATACTGCTGCTAAAGTTAACAAACCCCATTCATCTCACATATGATCCCTTTAGCTTAATGATACATATTCAGCATTCAGCGAAAAATATCTATAATGAAATCTATTTTACTCAGCATACAGTTCAATAACCTTGAACTACAAACTGCTTATAATGCAACCAATCTAATATCATTTAACTAAATATTGCTAATATAGCATCCAGTTAAAATCCCCTTAACTGCTTATTTGTCACTTTGTTTCATTAAGTTAATTATCCCCATTTCAGCATTAGGCTAGATATCCGTGTAACTAAAACCTGCATATTCACCATTCAGTTACATTTCCCTTTAATGAAAAAAAAGAAGCTTTTTAAGCATTCAACTCAAAATAATTTGATTAAATATTGCTTATTCACTGTCCAACACAGTGTCCCTTTAACTTAAACCTTTTCATTTCTATTCTTGTTTTTCTCTAATTTCAAATTTATACAGTATTACCATGACACCACTGGAACTAGTAGCATCAAAATTCAGATTAGCCAAGATGAAATTATAGATGTATATCTTGATCAGTAATGAAATGCTAGGAATCGATAGAGATGTGAATTTGTACCATTCCTGCCACCATGACGCTACTGACAAGGACAGCATGTGTTTTTAGATCCTTTGGAAATCTCAAACTCTTTGAAATCTTGTATCTCTTTGATGTTGAAATTTGCATCAAGGAAGTGATTACATGTGCAGGATATGATGAGATCGGAACAAATCTCAAATTAATCGCTTCATTCCGCATGGAATTAAGTGAAGCTCTCAACAACAAATAGTACTCACTGACAATCTATATTAATCCCCAAAGTAGTCTTGAAACACAGATCCAGAACTTCTGCTTTCACCCTTACAAACTCGGGGCTGAGACCCTATGACTTCTCAAGACATTGACTTGTAACAACCAGTATACAGCAAGCGACATGAAGTAGGATATCATGCTGCATTTAACAAGGATACCCCACTCAGACACAGTATACTGACTAAATCATTCTCGACTGCCAGGCAGAGAAACAAGACTCTTGTAACTCCTGCTGATCCAACATGATGAGGGATCGCACCATTGACCTTCAACTCTTTGAAGGCGAGAAGACAAAGACAAATACTGTATTAAATGTATTCACACAAACCAACACTAACCCATGTTTATCTATTACTCACATTAACCAGCCATGTTTTTACTACTCTTGATTTGCGACACTTCTCAATGTATGGGCCAATCAGATTGCAGTTACAAACCAGTCTCAATGTTATGGCGGGGATATCAACAATATGGTGGCCAGTCCCACAAACTACGATCGTTCAGGTTTTTAGGTGATAGGAGTTATCTTCATTACTCTTTTATTTATTTCAACGATTGACTGGTCTGTGAAGCATTAACAAAAACAAAGGGCAGGTAACTTGAGATGAAGCACACCACGGCAATGGATCCAACCAAAATGGTTACCATGGAGATATAGAAGCTGAATCAAAGTGGGATACGGCCCATGTATCATACACCTGTCTCCTCTCCTCTCTGTATTTCATGGTGACATGAAGCATGTCAGTATTGATGTACTGCAGACTCTTGTGGAACTACTTGTGTATTGTGATTTTTTTCATGTTTAGATCTTAAAACCTGAAAAGTACATTCTATGACAACATCCAGTAAGATTTCTATTAAGGCAAATGTTCTAAGTGATGATTTTTTCAACTTACGGCAGGAAGAGCAAAGAAGGATATTGCAAACACAGCAAAACAGGAGGCAACTATCTTCCCCATCCACGTCTGGGGCACCTTGTCTCCGTAACCTATAGTCATCACAGTAATCTGAAACACACAGCAACATTATCCTTTATATACATCTCAGAAGAAGAACACCTGATTCATTCATATTACTACAGATAAGTGGTCATGGCATGACAGATTAATTGGTCATGAAAAAGGATGTTCTGTGATGTGTCATGTCAGATTATCTATAGTCTCATGAAGGAATTGGGTGCTTTGTAACTTTTGTCATCACATATTAACAACAGTCCTATGAAAAACTCCAAGAAGTCTTCAACTTGTTATAATTTAGTACTTTGAAGTCTACACAGATTCCCAAACGTTGGTTGGTTGAGAGAGCGATCATGTGATCTAAATTTCAAGGTTCTTTTCCCTTGAACCCTTCAAATCGTTCATACGTGTGTAAACATCGTTCATACGTGTGTGAACGTTTTCGAGCCGATCTTGGTCATGTGAACTTTTGCCGGAACTACTTTCCAGGTTTTCCCCAGGATACTCGCTGTCCAGCTTGACGTAAACAAAATAAATCATATGCATTCACACTACTTTTAATTTATACATATCACTTACTTGTTTTTGTATGTAACAAAAAGCACCAACTGAGCACAGTTTTGCAAAAATCTGACTGACAACGCGTCGACAACAAGTCCCAACCAGTGCGACCTAATTTTCAAATTTCCGCTATAGTTTCAAGGAACCCAAATGATCTTGCTGCATTTGGTGATGCCAATTTAGTGAGCGATCCTGTTTCAAGTCACCCCAATTTTGGCAATGTCACTTCTTCACGACCAAACAGATTTCCAATTGCCGAGCATTGTTCCTTATTACAAGAGTTTAATCTCTCGCGGTTTGCGGGTTCTGCCCCGTGATCTGTTTAAAAACTGCTGATTAAATTTCACAATAAACAGTCACAAATAAATAGAATACACCAACGAGATCTGCTTCCTATTCGCCACGCCGCACAACTTCGAAGTCGGTCAGTGTATTATTACGCAGTCAAACGAATCCATCATAGTTTTATAGGTACAATAACAGTTTGTTAAAATGATATTGTTATTGATATTTGTTTCTGTTTGATAATTTTATTGATGTTATGCTTATTAACAGAATTGAATATGAACAGAATGATATTACAACATTTTACAGGTATTAAAACACATCACTGTAAACAATGATCATGTAGAAGTGGGTAAAAAACGTATGTGTAAACATCAAAGTGCGAAATTATAAGAATTGAATGTCACTTTGTGTGTTTGCACTGAAAAATGAACGATGTCAAAGCGTTGTTCAAACTCTCGTGTGAACAACTGGCTTTGACATCGATCCTGCGTGTGTTTTGTTGATGCTACCGTGGAACAGCACCTTCATATTTGATGGACTTAGTACCAGTGGAGAGTACTTTAATCAAATCAGAGACCATATAATACAATGGTCTCTGGTTGTGATGTGGATGTGTATTGCATTGTTACTATGAGCATTGTGTTGATAGGATAATAATCAGGGAGAATCATGGATTAGAGCCAATGATCATTGAATCCTGGTGCAACTAGGGGAGGCAGCCTTCACAGTGAATTCCAGTGCCTCAGACAACAAGTCCTTTAGTCCCCTAGCTGTGTGTGGAAACAAGAGTGGACCCATGAAGGTCCAGGTTACAACTGGTTTCAGCACCCCATGCTTGTCTTAAGATGCAACTAACAGGATCGGGTGGTCAGGCTCGCTGACACATGTAATTGTATCCCAATTGTGTAGATTGATGCTCATGCTGTTTATCACTGGATTGTGAGGTCCAGACTCAATTATTTACAGACCGCCGCCATATAGCTGGAATATTGCTGAGTGCAGCATAAAACAATCAACCAACCAACCAACAGGAGTGTGACAAATAAAAGGCAGTATTTTTGAAGATATATGTAATGGAACTTATCATGCTGACTTAACAATTTTTTTCACTTAAAAACACAGATGTCTGCAATATAAATATAAAAATAACCCTTAATACATTTAGGTGTCTTGTTCTGGGGAAACGTTGTGATATTGTTTCAGTAACCTCCTGATTCTAATACATGAGTCTGGAAGTCTCGGTCTCCCTCCAGATGACCTTTACCAAGGAATATGATACACAGTTGCTTCAACCAAGTTTTTGTTTGTTTTATAATGCTGCACTCAACAATATTAAAGCTATATCGCAGCAGTCTGTCAATAATCAAAGTCTGGACCAGATAATCCAGTGATCAACATCATGAGCATCCATCTATACAGTTGGGATATGATGACATGTGTCAACCAATGACCACCCGATGCAGTTAGTTGACACTTATGGCAAGCATTTTCTGCTGAAGACCAATTCTACCGACGTGAAGATCATTGTGTTAGCAATATTCCAGCAATACCATGACAGGGAACACCAGAAATGGGCTTCACACATTGTACCCATGTGGGGAATCAAACCTGGAGCTTTGTCGTGATGAGTGAATGCTTCAACCACTAGGCTACCCCACATCTTCACCGGTCTACAACCAAGCTGCCGACTCACCACTCCCCACCAGAGGGCATCTGCATAGCTGGAGAAGTCTTTCCGGCCATCCTCTCGCTCCGCCAGATACACAAAGTAGGAAGAAAATATAAGGCCCAGGAATCCTATATACAGTGTTGTAATTAACTCCTGAAACATGAAACATGAAACATTAGGGAAAATGTCATCAATGTCTATAAAATCGTGAATTAGTTCTAGACTGGTGTCAGGTATTACCAAACAAGTCACTATTGCTGATTATATTTCTAATTTCCAAACATTTTTCTTACACTGTGATCATCTTTTACTTTGCAGGTACTATTATGGAAGGGTGTTGGAACATACAAGATGAGAATCTGTCTTCATCTCAACTGGGGATCTTGTTTGATCATTGAAATTTTTCAGAAGATGTGTTTATCAGACTGAAAGAAAGGATCCCTTCAGGAAGAAAATGCAATTGTCATGCTTGTCATGATTCCTGGAGGAACCTAGTCATTATTACAAGTTATCAACATTCATACAGTGTTGTGGTGAGTGAGCTCACGAGAACCCTTGTCCGGGGCAAGCACAGGGTAATGATGCTCCCACAGACTGTGACATAATATTGTAATAATTATGTGTGGCATTCCAACATGGTAATCCACTAACTTCTAAAAACTCTTCCACCTGACAAATATTCCCTTGATTAGCAACAAATATTGATCAGATTTTATTCAATAATGTTTTTACGTACCTGTCTATGTAGATATATTACAGAACCTAGTAGACGCCAGGTGCCGCCCTGTCGGTCCACGTGCAACATACGCAGAATCTGCAGGAACCTCACTCCTCTGTAAACAAGAGATCACAGATGTATATGCAATGATCATGTACAGTACACTGTGTGATGTACCAGAAGGTGGTGCACGACACGCAGCAGTGACGGTCTGTGATACACACCATGATATATTGCATGTCTCTTGCACATGTAATTTTTCCTTAACCTGAATACACATGAACCCATATCTGGTGGCCATAGAAACATGGTTTGATTCCTGACATGGGTACACCATCTGATTCCCATTCCTGATGTCCTCCACAGGTGTAGTGCTGGGGCTCCTTTCACGAAAAAACCTTTACTAAGGTTAGCCTTAACTCCCATTCTTTAACATTGCACTAAGGTTACCTTAGTGACTTACGATCACCTTAGTGCTTTGTGAAAGGAGGCCCAGGGCTGCACAAAGCAATCTTAGCGCTAAGGTGATCATATCTCCCATACCTAACACATAGACTTACTACGGTAGTCTTAGCTGCTAAGGTGATCATATCTCCATACCTTAACATAGACTTACGGTAGTCTTTGGCTAAGGTGATCATATCTCCCATACCTTAACATAGACTTACGGTAGTCTTATGGTTAAGGTGATCATATCTCCCATACCTTAACATAGACTTACGGTAGTCTTGGTTAAGGTGACCATATCTCCCATACCTTAACATAGACTTACACGGTAGCAACCTTAAGCTAAGGTGATCATATCTCCCATACCTTAACATAGACTTTACTGGGCTAGTTGCTTTGTACAATGGCAACCTGGGCTGCACAAAGCTGTACTGGTCAGGTGATCATATCTCCCATACCTTAACACAGACTTAACATAGTTGCACAAAGCTTACGGTAGTACTGTTGCTTTGTACAATGGCAAGGTGATACTGGTATCTCCCATACCTTAACATAGACTTACGGTAGTCTTACTTACTAATGGTGCTATGGTTGCTTTGTAGGTGATCAGGTGATCATATCCCATACCTTAACATAGACTTACTACTGGGCTATGGTGCTTGTACAATGGCAACCTGGGTTGCACAAAGCTGTACTGGTCAGGTGTGATCACCTTATCTCCCATACCTTAACATAGACTTTACGGTAGCTATGGTTGCTTTGTACAATGGCAACCTGGGCTGCCTAAAAGGTGATCATATCTCCCATACCTTAACATAGACTTACTATGGTAGCTAAAGCTGTGTACAATGGCAACCTATAGGTTGCTTTGTACAATGGCAACCTGGAGTTGCACAAAGCTGTACTGGTCAGGTATCTCCCATACCTTAACATAACACTGGGTAGACTTACTACTGGTGATCATATCTCCCATACCAATGGCAACTAAAGCTGTAGATCATACTCCCATACCTTAACACAGTGGTGCTATGTAGCTTTGGTACAATGGCAACCTGGGTTGCACTAAACAACTGGTTAAGGTGATCATATCTCCCATACCTTAACACAGACTTACGGCTATGGTTGCTTTGTACAATGGCAACCTGGGTTGCACAAAGCTTAGTACAATGGCAACCTGGGTTGCACAAAAGGTGATCATATCTCCCATACCTTAACACAGACTTACTACTGGCTATGGTTGCTTTGTACAATGGCAACCTAGACTTAAGCTGTACTGGTCTGGGTGATCATATCTCCCATACCTTAACACAGACTTACGGTAGTCTTAGCGCTAAGGTGATCATATCTCCCATACCTTAACATAGACTTGCTAATGGTTTGTAGTCTTAGTACAAGGTGATCATATCTCCCATACCTTAACATAGACTTACGGTAGCTTTGTACAATGGCAACCTTACAAAGCTGTGCTTATCTCCCATGGTAAGGTGACCATATCTCCCATACCTTAACATAGACTTACTACGGCTATGGTTGCTTTGTACAATGGCAAGCTAAGGTGATCATATCTCCCATACCTTAACCTTGCTATGGGCTTTGTACAATGGCAAGTGCACAAAGCTGTACTGGTCAGGTGATCATATCTCCCATACCTTAACACAGACTTACTAATGGCGCTATAGTTGCTTTGTACAATGGCAACCTGGGTTGCACAAAGCTGTACTGGTCAGGTGATCATATCTCCCATACCTTAACACAGACTTACTACTGGCGCTATGGTTGCTTTGTACAATGGCAACCTGGGCTGCACAAAGCTGTACTGGTTAGGTGATCATATCTCCCATACCTTAACACAGACTTACTAATGGCGCTATGGTTGCTTTGTACAATGGCAACCTGGGTTGCACAAAGCTGTACTGGTTAGGTGATTGTATCTCCCATATTTCAACAAAGATTCATGACACTCATAGATATAACACTGAAATTGCTTTGTGCAACATGCTCAAGGGACATGGTTAAAAGCAATAAAACTACACTCACTCACTCAAGTTCGAGTGATATAAATTTGCCATGGCCCTACACTAGGGAGACTGGATCATAGTTGATATATTAACAAACAGTCCTATAAAGAATAATGTTTACTACTTCTGAATCGGAAAGAACTTAGAATAAGATATTACTTCTAATGTTCTAACAGACCGTTTTATCACTAAAGAATATTCTCATATTTCCTTGAGTACAGCATCACATTACACCTAATGCCCACACCTCTCTAAGGAATCAAGTATTTTGGAAACAAAATATTTTTTGAGTATTTTGTGCAGAAAAATAACATTGTATCAACAAACTTGGTCAATAAATATTTGAAACAGAGGACAAACCATCCCTAGATTAATGATTTACCATTGACACTGTATTTCCTGTACTAATTAGGCCTTGTTTTATATGCAGAGATTAAGATTATGATGGGTAATATCTCATTAACAAAAACACCTTCAAGTCATCATCCCCTATATTAGGTTCACCTCCTCTATACAACAGACTTTTTAAAAATGCATCTACTTTAATGAAGAAAAATATAGTAATACGAGTGTGAAGATCGTGATGGAGCAGGAATGTCATCCTTGTCATGTGAGAAGAGCTGATGATGTATTTAAGACCGATGATGCTGTCAGTAAATTATAGATGTTTGACTGCTGCGTCCTAACTAGCACACATCAGCAGGCTAATGGTTGCTCTCATGGCATGGTGTTACTGACAGAACGAAGCCAATTCATCATTCATTATATCAGCTTTTAGTAGTACACTACATACTGGTCTGTGCTCCACCCTCAGGTAGAGAGGCTTAAATTGGAAATCTTAAAATGTTCATCATTCTCCGTAATGAATTTCCACAATGTTCCCCATGAATATTTTGTGTGATATGTATAAAACGTTTGTTTGAAAGATGATCATATCAATTATAATTCTAATAAATGATTAAATTTCCGCTTTCTCAACATTTAGGTCATTTGTTTCCATGGTAACACAGGAAGGTAAAACTGGATATAAAATTACTGTTGGGATGAGTACCAAGAGTTGAAATGATGAAATTAAGGAAAAATCTAAAATACCACAAAAAGAAAATTTAACAACATTTTCATCTGAACATATTTTATGAATGATGTACATTTTTTTCTCTGATAAAAAAAAGAAGTTAAAGAACTGACAATTATTTCACCTGACTATAGTAAATATCTCTTATCATGAAAGAAGCAGGTCTCTTGAAGCAAAATGCAAAAGGTCTTCACCAAACTGAACATTCTCTAAAGATATCATATGTTTTAGTCAATTTGACACTGACTTGTCAACAAACGTATTTTGAAAAGGCCGTAACAAATCAAGATATCATCTTTCCAAACATTTTCCCCTTTAACTTGAAGATGATACTTTTTAAAAAAAAATTATGCAGCATTTATTCTGAGTATTTTAACATTTTCCTTCCATTGTTGGTACGGGTCTCTCTCAGTTCATCTCAAATCTAAAATAGACAAAATTGTTAACACTGCAAGTAAAATTGCTGGAGTCAGATTTGAATGTTTATTATCAATATATGAGCGGCAAATCGTGAATCAAGCTGTCAAAATTATATCCTACCGTACTCACTTCTTAAATTCGGAATACAACCTCCTCCCTTCAGGCCGCCGCTACAAAGTTCCAATTGTGAAAACTAAGAGAGCCCGTACATCCTTTATTCCAAGTACCATATCTCTCTTAAACAAATTTAAAGATACCTAAATCAATGAATTTATGTAAATATGTTTTGTATCTCTCTGATGTGTCAGTAGCTCTGCTGATGTAACACAAATTCCTGAAAACTATTATTCTATTCTATTCTATACAGTAAATACTTTGGTGAGTACAGAGACTGGTTCATCTTGGCTGTTGACCCCGCTATGCACACTTGGAAAGGCATTCTGCAATTTCTTCAAGCTCATTCTCCAAGTGTTGCTAAATGACAAACTTTGAGAGAAATGTCTGTGAATTAAGATGTTGCCTTCATGAATGAATGTCATGCCATGACAGAGTAACTGGAATAGACTTGAGTCAGTTTAGTTTTACACCGCACTCAGCAATATTCCAGCAATATGGCAGGTAACAGACCTGAAGAATCAGATGCTCCTTTACATTCTCTTGAGTTGTAAATATCAGAATCATCCATCAGCTTGGTCTCTGCTGCCACTTATTCACAAAACATTACTGTAATTGTAGTTATTTTTGTGTGGGATTAATTTTCGCGTTTTTAGCGCAAAAAGATCGTGCGTCAATAATCATACCATGTTAAATATTCATGGTCAAGTCATGACAAATACTCAAGTAGGAACAACATGCAACTTGTTTATTCTCTGTCACAAGTCACAATGTTGACACAAGTATAGTCCCACACCTCTCTCTGATTGTTTTAGTAAACATGATTCAGTTATGGCGGCTAGCTTTGATCATTGCATGTCTATCGGTTGGGAAAACCTTGTGATGGATACCATCACTCAGGTGTTTGAAATGCGCAAAAAAACAACTGCGCTAACAGGTCTTTTGTGAACTTTCCACGAAAATTGCACACCGTGAAAATATATACGATTACAGTATTTAGAGTTTGTCAAATTAGTAAATATTATTGTAGTTGTAGAAAGT